ACCCCGGCCTGATGTTGGAATTGAACTCAGGACCTTCTTGCTGTGCTGCAACAGTGCTAACCACCGTGCCACCGTGCAAAAAGAATATTTCTTTCTCCATTTGATCTTAATATACGTGCTCTGTTTGTAAACTTTCTGTTTGACAAAAGCATAAAATAAGAAAGATTGTTAACTTTAACCTTCCATACTTTCATTATCGGGAACCAAATTATATCCTTGATCCATGTCTGCACTCCCAGAGCTCCAACATAAAGTGTCTGGTCTCACACATGGGGACACTTTGTGAAAAGTAGACAGTTTCCTTCACATTTAGGTTTTTGCACCACACTGGGGAGCACACAGCATCCTGATTTCATGGAGGTTGTGGTATAAAGTAGTAGTACTTTAAAATTTAATTTTGCATGTGTGCATATTGTAAAGCGATGCTAACGCAGGAACTTCTCTGACTTTTGTATACCTTAAAACAGGCAAAATGATTTCTACCAATCGATGCAGCGATTATGTGAAATAACTAAAATGAACTAAAACGTTTCTGAACTTTCAAAGTGTGCTACCTCCTGAGCACGATATCCCTCTTGAGAAACAGGTCAAACAACCACAGGGGACACATCTAACGAAGAAAGTTTGATGTTCCTGGACAATACGCAAGAGATGCTGATGTCTGTTGCCAGGCGACAAGATGAGGAAAAATAGCTAGCTCTGGTTGTGATGAAAGCGAGGCACATCACTTCTCTAAAGTGGGCCTACTGGTACATTCAGCAAGCTATACTGACTTTAGGAAAACATAATAAATGGAACCAAATTTTAAGAGATTTATATATTTTTGTCCACTTTAGAAGTACTTTGAATATGATTTACAACTAATACTAGCAGGACTTAAGTTGATGAATTATTCCAACATTGCTTTATGAAGGTGTAGCGTCATTTTCCAGCATGGCTCCATTAAAGCTGTATGTGTTCCAGGTCTGGTTTCTCAGTCTTTTGCCCCCTAATAAGGCTTCAAAAGCTGGAGTGATTCCCACGCGTTAATAAAACCACAATAAGGTCTGCGCTTGCCAGTTAGGATGGCAGGGCAGTATTGTGGACTATAGCTCATGTCTCCTCCAGTACCTGGTTGAATGCTGATCTGTTCAGTGTGCCGGCTCGCTTCATCAGAGCCGCTGGTCTCCTGGCCGCCAGTCCCGTGATGACCCCCTGACCCCGTCTCCGAGCCACTATTGGTGGGACCTTTCTGTTTCTCAATTTGGGACCTCCTCCTCGGGGAATGCCACCTCCTGGTAAGTATTGGAATAGCGACATTAGATAAACACACTTGTTTCAGCTGGGGTGAAAAAGAGAAGCATGAAGCTAATAATAACTGAGAAAACGTAAGCGAACACACCTCTCTGGGCTGGTCCTGCAGTCCTCTGTGAAACTCCCTTTCCTTGGATTAAGCGGCCTTTCTTCTTCACTGGTCGGCGGTTCACATTGGCCTGTCTCCTTCTTAACTGTTGCTCTTTTTTGTTCAGCCGAATAATGTCATCTGTTAAAATCATCACACGAGCAGTGATCAACATCTGCGAGCCCTCTGACAAGTGCTGTCTGTCTAGCCTAGCTAGCTACTGGCGACCCCCCAGTAGTTAGGTGCTAGTATTATTAGCTTGCAATCTATTTTAGTAACGTTGCTCATAGCTGTGTGAGGGCCTTACCCAAGGACATGTCGACTTTATCCGGTACAGGTGTCCTTTTCCCTCGGTCTGCTGTGAAATCCCCCATGCTC